TCAGCTTCTGCTAGCAAACTCCATTTTCCATACCCCCTTATGGGGGCCCCTCTAAATCATAGTTCATTTTGGCGGCGGAAGCTGTGCCATAACACTCGGAAATACTGAATTGACAGCTGACGCAGCAGGCTTCTGACAGGCCGTCGTCCCCCCCCTCTGTTTCCTTCGGATCACGAAAACGCAGAAGTAGCCCGGCCCAAGGTGGAGGCCTGGAGGGGAGGTTCTTGAGGTACAAATGCAAAAGTGCTTCTGGAGTCGTCCTGACCCGGAAGCAACGTGTACATCAAAAGTACTACTGCAGTACATGAGCCACCTTCCAGGCAGTCCATGAGAATCCACAGAGAACGCCACCGCAGTCCGGCATGAAAGTGCGTGCACACTCACAATGAAACGAATCTAATCTATACTATATTCCGGAGTAGTAGGGTAGTGATAGCAGCAGTTTCAGTGCAAGCTGAGGCTGGCAGTGAGCCGGGTGTCAGCGGGGCTTTCCTCGCTGCCTCTTGCTGCAGCTCGGCTGAAATGTGTGGTTCCTGGATTACGCTCTTTGATGCTCTTCCTTCCGGACCGAGGCGGACTTTGCGGTGGCCTTCGTCGACATCGCAGACCTCAGTGGCGAGGAGCGATTCAAGGCTCCTGGACCTGTCTTGCTTGTCCGCATGCTCTGCACAAGGGTCGCCTTTGAAAGGCTCTCAAAGGTTGTTGTTCATGACGCGTCAGCCAACTTGCACAGTCTGCGTGTCATGTCAACGAGGCGATCTCCACGACCGTTGTTATTTTTGCCGGGCTATGATCCTCGCAGTTGTGGTATTTGGACCTTGTAACCCTCGCCTCTTCGTCGTATGTTCTCATGGCCTCGTGTCGTTTCTTTGCGTCGTTGGGTCGCATCCTCATGTTTTGTCCTCGCGGCATGTGTCGAGTGCGGCCTTCGTGTCATTTCTGTTGTTTAGTGTCGTCCCGTACGTTGGTGTCGCGTCGTGTCCTTGTGTCATGTCAGTGATTTCCTGTCATTTGTTCTTGGTATCATGTCCAAGTGTCGCTTGGTGTGGTGTCCGCATCTCGTGCCGTGTCTTCGTGTTGATTGTCGTAGCATATCTCGTGTCGTCTCTTTGTCCTTCGTCTTTGTGCAGTCCTGTAGCGTCTTCTAATTCGTCTTCATACTGGGTCTTTGTCGCCTCTGACTAAGCAGCATGTCGCATGGTATTTCGTGTGTGTCTGGTGTCCCGTCCGGCGTCTCTTTCACTTCTGTAGAGGTTGCGAAATGAGGTCGTCAGCACTTCGTGTGTGTCAGCATTCTGGCTGGTGGCTCCAGTTTGGTTTCGTTCCGGTAGTGTTGTCTGAATCAATGTCTGTGAGCGTGATGGGGTCTCGAACGATGGAAGCGATATCGTCCACGTCGATCGGCTGACGGCTGAGGTGGATTTTCTGGAGCTTCGCAACTCAGAGCTCCAGGCTGATCAGCAGAGAGTCTTCATCCGCTTTATCATTAGTTGCAAGCCTGTTAGGGTCTTTCGCAAACCAGCACAAGGTGCCGCACTGTAGGGCTTGGCACAGGTGGTGGCCGTGGCCAAGCTCCACTCTGCCGCACAGCGCCGGTGGACTCCCGAGCCGATGCCGCCACCGTCACAGGCTTTCGAGATCTTTCGGGTCCACGGACATCTGTGCGATTTGGGGGCGGCTAGGGCCCTAGGTAGGAGCACCTAGAACGCTGACTGTCAGATGCTATTCACTTGCTTTTCTAGTCAGAGTCCCGCTGCTTTGTGCCAGGCAAAGTTCCTGGACTACACAGTGGATGCGCAGGCACCCTGCTTGCTCATGCCTTCTTCAGCGGCGGGATGAGAGCAAACAAACTCATTGACTTTGCTGCATTGTGCGACGGGCAATTGCGTGACTGTGACTGGCTGTGCTTTTGGTGTCTCTGCCAAATGCCTTCTGTGCTAATGTCAGTAGTCCCCGTGCGTTGGGAAACCCATCTGCCGACCTCATTTTGAGCATTTCGCACGATTGAGCCCAATTGACACCGAAGTCAAGTCCATTCCGGCAGTGTCAGCGTGCAGTCATGGTAACTTCCTCATCGAACCCTGATAGTGGGGGAGTGGTAAGGCGTCGCGCCTCTACGAACACATTGCGGCTGCTGCAGGTATTGCATCGGCCACAGCTGAACTGCAATCACGGCTTTGACTGCATCCTGCGATGTCTTGAATTTGTTTACAAACCCGTGGAAGAGAAACTGGGCCTTGTAACAGACTGTGCCTGGCCTCTGCAGTTTCGGGCTCGAGCAATTCCAAGGGTCAAGGATGGCACCTAAAGCTGAGACATCAGCGGAGGAGCAGAGATTGCCGCAATGCTCTCAAATCGGTGTGCAGGAATACGTCGACAGTGCACTCTCTGATCCCACGTCTATGCGGTTGTGTGCCTTTACCAGCTGCAGTTTCAATCCCGAATGCACGGAGAGTGCACAAGCCGCAAATGGGCCATTACGATCGTCGCCGTGATCAGTGCGTTCGTCTTCTCGATCTGCTTCGCTTGCAAGCCTGCAGCAGATATGCGGACTTCCATCGGCACCCCGTGAGCTCTGATTCCAGCTTGTGTGGCATTCTTCATGAGGCTCCTGCCGTTGGTTCCCACACAACAAGATGGCATCACAGCTGCACAAGAGATGCCCAGAGATGCTACTGGAAGGGATCCCGAGAAGACCTTCACAGTGAGGGTCATTTTTTCGGATGAAATGGACCCATAGCATCCACCTGTATGAGGTATGAGTATGATCTTTCTGATCAACAGGCCTCCGCAGAAGCTGCTGCAGAGGGGATGGGCCGACATGAAGAAACATGTAGTCATTTTTGTGATTCGGCTGCCTGGCCGCATCTGTGCTCCCACATGGTGGAGAAATTTTCCGTTGAAGGTATGCGACGAGAACGGTAAGCTCGTGCAAACGGATGTTTGCCATGTAGCCGAATTCAGTGGCCAGAAGATCCACGATGGGCAGATGGGCCCGGTTTCTGTGGTAGGGCAGTGCATTGCTGACCAGCTAGCGGGGCAACGCAGAATATACAGAGGTTGGTAAATGTTTTTCCAAGAACAACGCCAACAGGGGACGTCATGGTGTAATCAGCGCACTTTGCATGAATCTTGCCAGGCTGGGTAGTGCTGGGCCCTTTCTGCAACTGGATGTCTTGCACAAGCCGGTCAGTGCCAAGAACATTGTGGAAGTCTTGAAAGTTGCCATGGAAGGCACAGATATCTTTTCAGCCATTTCCGGAAATCAGGGCCGAATGGCTGCGATTCTGTGTGTCCTCCACCGTTGTGACGAACTACAACTTCCGCTTCTGTAGGATAAAGTACGTGCATTTCGCCATGAAACCGTTCCCCAGCTTCGCGTATCGTGGGAGTGACGGGGAGAAGTTTGTCGGAATTCTTCTGCGAAGTAATTGGTAACCTTCTACGAGAAGTCTGTAACCTTCAAGGGCCAGCCGCTGTTAGAAGCTTATCCAGAAAAGGCCAAGGAGAAAGTGTTCTTGCTGCCACAATTTTGCTGTCATACGGGTGTGACAGACGAGATGCGCCAGGAGAAGAGTCCCCTAAGTGAGGTCTTGAAGCAGATCAAGGTCTCCTCACAGGAGAGGCACAATGTCATCGTGAGGCAAGGCACGGAAACGGAGAATGAATTGCCCGAAGCGCTCAAGGCTTGGGGCTGTCATTTGGGACCGCCCACGGAGACGGTCTAGTTGGAAGCAAAGCAGCTAGAGACTTTGCAGGTGTCAGGAGAAGATCTATGCTATTGAGGAAGGTAGCTCTGCTCGGTCTTTGCGGCACGGCGTTGAGTGTCCTGGCACAAACGATCCGCGGCTAATGTTTTGTCCAGAGACGGATGAGCCTGTATTGGAGATTTGGTTGCGGTCACTGCGACATGTTGCGAGGGTTGCATTCGGCTGTAAGCTGGAGGAGCCGAGGAAGGTTTGCTGCAGTGATCAGCGCGGGGAACTGCAGTCAAAGATCGTCGTTGTCGGCAGTCTCGCACTGATCCGCATTCGTATCCGTCTTATGTCCGACCCGGACACTAACATGATTTTGGATGCCACCGCTCTTGGATTCGTCACCGAGCTGGACCTAGCTTCCAAACCCTCGAGAGCCTTGTAAGCACTGGGCGCTAAACTTAGGATGTGCCAGCAGCTTGGCCCGTTTGGCCGCCTGTGCAAGCGCGGTGGAGGCATTCGGCGCCGGCAAGGCTAAGGAGACGCTGCACAAGCTGCAGGACAATTTGGAGACGTTGCCTTCGTACCTGTCGTACCTCCATCGCTCGAACTTTCTGTATGCTGCGGTCTTCTTGGCCTTGGGCTGCCTCCACTTCTATCTCAAGTCTGGAGGGCGACAATGCCAATTCATTTGCTCCGACCGCTGTCGAAGTTGTGCAGTTTGATTACGTTGAGCCAGCAGTCCTCACGCCGCCGTGGCTACGGCTCATGGGATCCGCTGAGGAAATCGCGGCCAAAGTTCTCCGACCGAAATGTTGGACGGTTTGCGTTGTTGACGAATCAGTGCCATGCCTTTGCTCCTGGCACATATCATCACACGCACAGGACGAGGCTTCAGGCAGAATTCTGAAGCTTCCCGCCAAGTTCCAAGGCTGTGCAAAGCCCCCAGCGCCCTGGGCTTGCCTCGGCCGCCAAAGCAAGGGACCAGCTTTCTGGTGGTGTGTTTTAGGAGGTGCACCGTTGTTGACTGACCTTTTCGGCCTGCCGGGTGACAGCTCAAACCTTTCTTTCGGGGTCTTGTTACTGCCATGGCATGTTGTCTCGGTGTCTTTACTGCGTCTGGTCCTGCCGTGCGCTGGGCCGATGGTGGAACGGCTGCTGGGCATGCTTGGTCGCACCTTACTTTGGGCTCAGCATCAGCGTGTATGTGAGGCGGGTGTCCATCTTCGCGAGAAGCGGCAAGCTAGCCCGGGCCGTGCTGGACGGCAGCCTTGGGTTCTTGATGTTGACAGGGCTCTTGCTGAGCTTCCGCGGCAGCTGCAAGTTGTTTGTGCTTGAGAGATCGGATGCTTATGCTGAGAAGCTGCGACAGAATCAGCGAGAGCGGGGAACGGCAGTTCAGAACGGAGTCCACCTTTGCTTCTTCCTGGTTTGGACTTGCTGTACAATTGTACACCTGCTGCAAGAAGCGTGTATTCTGATGGCAGTGCTCCTTATGCTGGATGAGACACAAGTAGTTCTTCCTGAGAATCTAGGGAGCTCGGGCTCTGCACAGGCAGTCCTTGTATTGGCGATTGCGGCTGTTGGCCTGCCCTTTGCCTGGTTTTACATATGGTTTCGGTTACAGCTTGGGATGGCACCCTGGCCGCTTCTCGGGCTCCTTGAGCTCGCCGCAGCAGAGGTGCGGCAGCTTGAGGCACAAATCGAAGATCTCTTGAAGATGCCCATCTCGGCACGTCGAGTTCGGGAGTTGAGCGTGAACTATCTGCAGCTTCACGGCCGCTTGAGAGCTTTGTCTGCTCTCGCAGGCACTGCTCCTGCTCTGATCTTGGCAGGTGCGGTGATGCAATCACTTGGGCTCCTGATGTTCGAAGTTCTGGAAGATGACGACCGCTTTGCGCAAGCGAGAAGCATCATGGTTACGGGGCTGTTCCTCTCACTTATCTCTCCCACATTGGTGGCCTTTGTTCGAATGGCCTGGGTCGCGCATAGATGTGATGGGCTTGGTGCAGTGGGCTTACAACTCCTGTCGCAAACCACGGTGGAGGGCAGGAGTGAATTGCACGACGATGCGGACTGCACTGACCTGCTCCTACGCTTCATGTACACAGTGCAGGCTGTCCCAACCGGCTGGTTCATTGGACCCACTCGAGCTGGCCCATCCTTCGTACTGAGAGCTTTCCTGTCGGCGCTTGTGTCAGCGTTGAAGAAATCCTGGGCTTTCTTCTTTCCCGATGACTGGGCAAAGGGTGATGCTAGGGCTGGTACAATCCTGTTTGCCATTGGCATGGTGCTGTTCAGCGCCTCATGTTCTGCTATTACATGCCTGAAAGCTGAAGTCCATTTGCAAGGATCGCCCACCCTGGACGATGTTGAGCTTCCGATCTCGCAGATGCAGCTTGAATCTTCACTACACCCAGCTGGCTCGTCTCAACGAGAAGCGCTGTAGCGTTGCTACTACAAGGAATGTCGGCAAATTTTGTCGAGACCTGGCGGTACCAAGCCGACCGCTGATAGGAGAATTGGATAAGCCCTCAGGCTCCCCCACTGGCGACAACGCACTTGCGGATTGAAAGAGCATATGTAGCTCCAGGTCTCTCGGTAAGAAGACGACGTATGGAAGTACAGAGACTGTCGAATGCACGGAATGGCCGTAGCGAAAGCTCAGAGGACCCAGAGCTCGGCGAGTTCGGCAGGCGCCAAGGCCTCAGCGTTGCAAGCGGACCTCGGGGGGCCGCGGAAGCCCGTCCAGCGAGGTGCCGGCACAGACTCGCTACCAGAAGAGGCTCGAGGGTCGGCTAGGAAGCAACACTTCGGAATCCGTAGCTTAAGCAGCGATGAATGCTCTTCGACGCATGGACTGCTGCCCTGGAGCCTTCAATCGGAAAAGCACAGCATTCTGTGCGCAAATATCGCTGAACTTACCACTCGAAAAAGATCGATGTGAAAAGCCAGAAACCTCACCGTGCAACTCAACTTGTGCACACACTGCGCACCAATGCAGCAGCAAACAGTGCAAAGGTACTGTAGTACTCATACCGCTGCGTGCACAGCGGCATCTTTTGGAGTCAAAGCAGCGATGCTTTCGGCCATTGATGGTCATTGCAATGCAGGCGGCTCCTCACCCCTCGACTTCAGCGAGGC